CGTCTACTATCTTTATTTTGGTTCTGATCCACTCGTTACGTTTTCTATCTTTAAGTAATATACCCAACATTTGACTCTCCATCGCTCTTTGTGCCTTCCTTATCCTATCCAAATTGGCCTGTGTAAATGTCCATGACTGTGCTCCGTAGGTGAGCATCGGTATTATACAGGAGTTATATAACTTGCTCCGTAAGTATAAAGGAATTGTTTGATTTTTTAGAACGTAAGAAAGTTTGCCGAACGCTGCCCATCCCATTCTTACTCGTCTCGATATTTCGGCTGTTTGACATACATGTATACTTATAATAACATCATTTTTTTTTAAACACACATTTTATCCTTTATGACTTTCTCACGAAATTCTGTGATGGTCATTTTGTTATTGGTTACTTCTTGATGTAATAAATAGGAATTCACAATATCAGCGCAAATAACAAGCTCGATTGCCAACTTTCTATAGCCTTTAAATCGTCTATGTAGAGATGAATTATATGATTTCATCTGTTTTAAAAACAATTTTACAGTAACAAAAAAAAGTTTTTCAATAATAAAGTTATCTAATAAATCAATATAGGCTTTACGTTTGTTGTATTCCAGCACACTTTTGGGCTTCAATAATTTACCTGATCGTCTGTTGAACACCACCATTTCCGATAAGAATTTTGTGTTTAGCATATGGGAATCCCTCTTGTCCTTCCATTTTTTTACAAAAATGCCAGTATATCTTCTGCAATAACTTCTCCACGTTAATTGGGCTTGCAAAACAATTTTTCTTTTGAATCTTCTGTTGGTACGAAGATTTCCTATTATATGGGTATTATTTTCCAGCCATTTATGTGCCAATTCTACTGATTGCCCACTACAATGGTTCTTCTGCTGTTAAGCAAGTCTCTGGTTTAGAACAACCTAAGATGGAACACAATGCTCTTCTGAAACCGCATTTTCTCTTTCACAGTACATCTTTAGCTCATATAAATAACCTTTCTCTAAACACAGTTTAAAAAGTTTAATTCCAAATTTAAATCTTTTTTTTTGAGATATATTGCTTAAACTGTAGCTTTCCTTTGAAAGGAACAAGTGTTTTATCTATTACAATATATTTACCATGTACCATGAAAGCTTGAAAAGTTTGCTGTAACTCTGATAGTAAGGGACCGAGTTTCTATAGCCTTCGTCCATATTAGATTGTTTGTTGTTCGTAAAATGCCATATTTTTAACAAAACTTGAAAGCGCTTTCTACACAAAGCATGTTTTAGTGCATTTTAATACAAACTTTTTTTTGACCAGTAGACAGAAAGGGAAGGAAGCTGAACTAATCCTATCTACATAAAGTATCCTAGAAATGCTTCCATTTCATTCTCCATGGTATCTTTCCAAGATTGAACTCAGGAGTGTGTGGAGGTATTTTTAGAGTTTCGTTGATGTGCATAGATATTAGTTTCCCAAACAAATAATTGAATAATTTCATCTATCATCATTTAAAAAAATGTGAAGTCTGTTTATATTGTTCGTAAAAAGTTGCTTTGATTCCTGAGTCATTTATAGTAACAGGAATATTTGTCAAAAAATTTCCTGTTACCTGGCCTCCTTCAAAATTTATAATTGGCGAGTATTCAGATTTATCATCAATATACATAGTCCATAATATGTTCTGCTATTACTGACTCAATTATGTGGTCTATATTAGTGGATGCCGTATTTATGCAACTAGACGTTAATGGTTGGAGTGATGACGATAGACTGATTAGCAATGTGTTTTGGGAAAGACCAGATGGTAGAAGATCGACAGGAAGGCCTAGAAAAAGGTGGAAAGACGCAGTCAGGGAAGACCTGGAGAAGATGGAAGTAAGGCCATGGGAAATAATAGCACAGGATAGGAATCAATGGAAGGCAATAGTAAACGTGGCAAAAACTCACGAAGAGTTGTAAAAGCCAATGACGATGATGATGTTGATGGTTGGAGGTCTTGATTATTACTTTGTATCTCTAATTTTGGAGAAACGTTTAAGTACTTGTTTGTTAAATTTTATAACTTTTGATACTTGCTGACATTTTTTATTAACACCAGGCAATCTTGTTGTTTTTTTGGCGTCACGGGATTATCAGAATTAAAACTTTCGCTATCTGAGGGCTCGTAGTCACTCACATCCGTCGAAAAGTTGTGTTCATCTCAAGAAAGAACTTCGTCCCACAATTTCTGCAATCTGCAAACAATAAAAACTAACAAATTCACAAACTAACTCGAAAATATTCATAAACTATCACGTACGTATTTTATAACCTCATCGGACTGCAGTTTTTACGATACTACCAGTCTAAACACGAAAACACGTCAAACGCGCCTATTTCATGTGTCGGCCGTTCTGAAAAAAACATGTGGGACAAATGGGGGACAAATGCTGTCAGACAAAAAATTTTTTTTTAAATTTTATTTTACAAATAAAATAAGTTATTCATATGTTTAAAATAATAAAAAAAATTTTAATAAATTAAAAAACTTAGCCGGATAATATGGACAGTTTAACCTTCGGCCAGGCGCGCCCTAAATAATTACATCATCAGGCGCGCCGCAGCAATTTGCTGCCATGTAGTTTCTTATGGTTTTTGACACTTTTAATTATTGATTAACTGTATCGTTATTTATTCTTTTAAAAAATAAGAACGCTTTATTAACTTAAATAATTTTAATAAATTGTACAGAAAAAACTTTTAATTTATTCGATCATTGCAATTAATACATACAATATTAGATTTAGAATGTTGTTTACAAGTGAATGCACTACATTGTGTACATTTCATAGAGGTATACGACTTGGTTTTTTCACTGTAACAATTGCAGCATCTACCACGTTTAGCAGGATTTTCGTCTTCTTGATGGGGTACTGGTTGCTTCGGAAACATCCTGGACAGGAACTCGGTTATATCACGTGGAAGTGTTTTAATTTGTGATCGTGTATAAAGGTGTTCTTTCATCAAGTTCATTGCAAGGTTGTTAAGAAAATGTCCCCTTTTGAGTGATTTCCCAGAATTTGCAGCAGAATGTAGTACAACAGCATTTATGCCTCAAATATTCATTAGATTATAGAATATAACACACGGCCATCTTTTAGTAATTCTAATTTGTGAAACACTGTATGATGAACATAATTTATCTACAATATTAACTCCTCCTTTTGTTTTATTGTAATATAAAATCAACTGTGAATTCTTAGTATCCATGTCAACTGTACTTTCGTTGGGCATAGACGATAATAATATGACTGACTTACTTTTACGCGGCACGTAAGAGGTAATTATATAATCTTTTTGAAATATATTTATATGCTAGATTGAACTGCCCATGATTTATGTGAAAGAAATTCTTGAGGAATTTCTCTTTTGTTTTTCTTCAGCGTCTCAAGCAGACTAACTTTCTTCTGCAGCAAATATCTAGCTAACGGAATACTAGTATAAAAATTTTCAGTTGTTATGTTTCTTCCTGTCATTTCTACGGACTCTATTAGACGTTTTACAACGTCAAAGGCCGAATTTGATACGTCGTATGGGCCACTTGACTGTTTACAGCAATATATCTCTAAATTGGCGGTATAAAATGTTTGAGCATCACATAACGCGTACATTTTTATCCCGTACTTAGCAGGTTTGTTGGGTATATATTGTATCCAGCTACACCTACCTCTAAAGGGATGGAGCATTTCATTAATTTTTATATACTCTGACAAATTGTGACGAATTTTTATGAATCTGTCAAAAAACGATCTAATGGCCGACAGCTTGTCTATTTTACATCTTTCACTCCTTGTATGTTTATCATCAAATCTCAATGAACGTGCAATAAATAGGAAACGTTTGTAGCTCATTACTGCTCGAACAATATTCTTTGTGCCATCTTTTTCCCAAAGTACCATAACATTTGTGTGATTGCCGTGCTTTATAAAAATCAAATAGAGGAGTCCAAAAATGGCCAATAACTCACTCCTGTCCACATTCTTGCAATATCTATCTCACAAATATCTTTTTTTTTCTATATATTCATTTATATATAAATTGGAAAAAAAATGAATTTAATCAACTATATCAATATTGGTAATAGTCAAAAATGGATCAATTTCTGTTTTTATTTGACGTGCAGTTCCTTTTAATCCCAGTGGTACTCTCATTATATTTTGTTGCTTTATCTTAGATGTGGCAAAAACAGTTTTATACCACTTACTTATTTTATCCTTGCCAATGAATGTATCTTCAACGTTTTCGTAAAACACTTCCTCTTCATCTGACATATCTTGCTCTGAACATATATCGTCGTGGTTCTCCCCAATTTGTTGTTCATCCAAATCACTATCACTTAAAAATATTTTATCTGTTTCATTTTCAATATATGTCATATTATTTAGATTATTGACTAATTGTGCTTGGGTTAACACTTCCTTTGGATTTTTACGAGACATGGCGTAATTATAAAATATGTTATAATATAGAATTCTACATTAATCTAATATGTTTCATATATATTTTTAATTCTTATAAATAATTATATTATTAACAATTCTACTTACCAATAAAATTTCAATTTATCGAAAAAGATATATAATATATTAGTTATTTAAAAAAAAAATTGCGTGAATTTCACTACCAAACGCCTTGCAGCAATTGTCTGCCTCGATGTACTATTTACAATAAAGTACGATAACTAACTAATTTGATTTGGATTTCACAAGACGATGATGGGTACCGACTAAGGATTAACCGATAAGAAAATTATAAAAATATCACGTACATAGCGTATCTCGTTAACACTTTACCTCTAAATATTGAGTTTACGCAGCAAATTACTGCGGCGCGCCCGGCTGAAGGTTAATATGATTTTCATTGCGGCACTTTACGTGTTAATAGTCAACTGCTAACCCAATAAACAATATTTTCGATATATATACAACATAACAATTTTTTGAGTTAATTGTATGCTTTAATTTTTATACCTAATAATTTTTTGTTGTAGACACTAAATTACCATTCACAGAAAAAGTTTGGAGAATGATCAAATGTGTTTACCAACAGGATCCAGCAGTAAGTATTGTAAATTCAGTAAAAATTTTATTTAATAAAATGTATATACATATTTTATGAATATAGAAATACAGTAGATCCACCGGATCTTTGCACAAGTATGACATTCTTTACGAATTATTTTATATATTACGTCTCTTTCCTACTCAGAAAGTTAAACGATAAACTTAAGCCGCGTGTCCACATACTCAACACCGTGCATTGAACAAAGACATAAAAAGTACGATGATCCTTGATTACTGACAATTGACATGAATATTGTAAATTTTGTTTTAGCATATTTTGTAGTGTGTTTATAATTTATTTTCGTTTGATTTAAATATATAAACCTTTTTTGTACTTTAAATAGACATATTTGTAACAAACAGTTGTTATAATAACTAACCATCACCTTCGTGTTTGATTTATTAGTGTAAGAATTCATTTATTAGTTAACAATGCATAATATATTTTTTAACGTCTACATTTTTATTAAGTTATTTAAATATGGCTAAAACACATCAACTATTTTTTTAAGGATATTTATTTTTAGCGTACCGTAAATCGGCGTTACTTTGTTCCGTTTTAAAAGGTCTCTGAAGAATTTTCAACAAAATGTTTATAAAATTGGGAGATATCTTTATTTAATTGAGTCCTACTTGTAAAGAATACTTTAAACAATTACGGTTTAAATACTTTAAGCTCAAAAATAACGAATTATTGATATTTTTTTTATTTGAAATGTGGAGCAAAGTTTCCCATAGCCAAAGGTTACTTTGCCTCATATCATAAAATAACGCCTAATCGCTAGTTTTTATATCACTGGTGCAATGGTAAGCACACATTTTGTTATGTTCGCGAACTCACAAAATAAATTAAAAAAACACGGAAAAAAATATATTTTTAGACTTGATTGCAGGAAACTAAAACATATTTTGGATTATATTAATAAATTACAACAAAAAGTATGATAAGGTACCTCATAAAATGTAACTAGATGTACCTTTCAAAAACTTAAGAACTAGGAATGCAAATATTCAACGAAAAACAGTTTTTTAAAACTTAGTAAGGTTTTAGAAAGAAATACCTAATATGTGTATTGAATATAGAGTTATACCAAAATGTGCAACTGCATATTTAGTCAATGTACGAACAAGCCAGCTCAAGCATAAAAAAGATTCCCCTTTTGTTACTTGTTTGAAAGGTTTAATAGATTGAAGAACATTGGACCAAGAGTATGTAATTTGCCCTTTTTTTTTAGGCCACTTCCACATTTTTAGCGATTTTTTCATTGCATTAATTGTAACTTCATCAGTGTTAAAGGAAACAATTTGTTCAGGATAGACCTGTCCTTCAAAAGAAAAGACCACAGAACATCCAACTTCTCTTACTACCTTATTAAAATGAAAATCGTTTGTTTGATAGTATTTATCGTCCAAAAATTTATAAATTCTCTTTCTTTCTCTTGCTCTTTTTTAATTTTATCGAAGTTAAGATCGTCCGATAAATCACCATTTAAACTAAGTGTGTCCTCTCCCCTAAAAGTAGAAGATTCTGGCAGGAGCTCGTCATTTGCTGTAGTGGAGGTCGTAGGTTCCTCAATTGATTCATCAACGCACACACTTTTTCCAGGAGGAATATTGATTTTCTTTCTGCGATTTAGTGTAAGTTAACAAAGATCTTCGTGTTTCAAGTATTTGTAGTAATGCGGCTTCTACAATATCTGTGTTGTTTAAAATTCGAGGTATCCTGGTTAAAACTTCCTCAATATTAAAACAAAATATCCGATATTCTAGAAAACCACATATCAAATTATCTTTGATGGCTGGTGCAATAATTTCCATTAATTTTACCAAGAATGAACTATCAAATGAGAAGAAAGGTGTCGCATAGTAGGCATTTTTTTCCTTCTAATTTTCTTAGCCAAGATATCATTTGAAGCTCCAGCTAATCAGTAAATATATTGCTATTAAACCACTCAGAAGAATTAGCGTTATATGGACATCCTTTTGGCCCATTTTCTGTCCACGTGGTCCACATCTTGCTGGCTCGATAAACAATATATGGAGGCAATAGTTTTCCAACCGCATTTCCTGCAAACATGACGGAAATTGATGTCTTCGATGCATTTCGAATTAGTTCAGGATACTGGCCACCTTTCTTTACGAATATCCTCTTTTTTTCTGGATCATCCTTAAGGTTTGTTTAGTCAAAATTTCATTCTTTCCTTGAAGACACCTCTAATATTTCGGTCGTTAAATTTTAAAAGTAGCTCCTTATCATTGTCTCATTTACTGCGGATCTCGTACGCTTGACTTTCAAAATGGGTTTGGCCCATTCTAGATCAGTCAAATTGTTCTGGAAAATCCTAACTTCCCTACTACATAATTATGTGCAAATAATCTTTAATAATGTGACGCAATTCTGTTGTATCTACAGGAAAACCAAACTGTCCCAATGCAACAATACACTGAATAAAATCGTCTTCTTGTTGTAAAGAAAATATGGGCTGTTTTTCTGGTTTCCCTAGATATCTTCTTTTAAGTTTATTTAAAATTTTTCTTCTTTATATATTGTACTTTTTCTCTGCTTGTCGGTGTGAAATTTCTCCTGCTTTTATTACATTTAAACACTCCTGCAATGTCTCTGCAGTGTAGTCTGCATATCTTCTTGATCCAGGCCTTCTAATGTAGTTTCTGAACATGCTGAAACAAAACATAAGATTACTTTCTTAGAATATATTGTTTTTAATAAATAATTAAAAAAGAAAATTCACACATATTTTGGGATTATTTTATATCGGAGCAAAGTAGACCCAAAATCGTGTTTTGGTGTTACTTTGCTCCAGTCTCATGGAGAAAAGTAACCCTAATAACGTCTTTTGGGTATACTTTGCGTCGGGGAAAATTAACCTTAAAATTGTTAAATTTTGCATAGCAAAATATTCTATTGGTTTGAATTAATATATAGACTTTTAGAATATTTTTTTGAGGTAAATAGCAATAATAATACCATTCACTACCTAACAATACCTACTTGTAAAATATTAAACGAAATCTTCACTAAACACCAAACTTTTTGACTTAAAATTAAAATGAATTTTACAGTCTTATTAATAAAAATTGCTTAGTCCGAAGTTAGTCTCGGACTTGGTAGTTCCAGATTAAGCGAGTACTAACTTCATTTTCAGAATGTTATTAATAAACATGGACTAAGCTCAGACTAACTAAACCTTCCTTAGTCCTAGGTACAACAAGTTAATGTTGGCAACCAATGCGAAAAAGAAGAAAAATTGAGAGAATTTTGTGAAAAAGAAGAAAAATATTTGAGAATTTGACAGTTATCATAAGTTGGAGCACGTATGCGTAGAGTTAATTTTAGTTGGATTGTGTTATGAGAAAGTTTGTTTATATTTTATAGTATTTATTTTATCTGAAAAGTTTAAACTTCATAAAAGTTCAGGAGGAAACTTTAAAAAATAATTTATTACAAAGTAAAAAAATAAAAAATACTAATAAACATAATGAACTGTAAAATATTTTATTAAATAAATTGTATGATATGATTTCTATGGTCATTAAGTTGTTCTATTAATCTTAAGTCGTTGATAAAATAATCTTCCATTATTAAATAATGTATAAATAATCAAAAACAATTCAGGTTATGAATACCAAAACAAAATTCAACTCAATTTCAATTGTGCAGTTAGTCATTCTCTAAACCTGCCACTAACTCGGATTAAATGTGAGTCCGAGACTAGCCAAGGTTTAGCTTAGTCTGTCCTTAGTCGCTGTTTATTAATACGAAAAATGAATGTTATTGGTGTACTCCTGGGAATATTGTTAGTCCAAGGTTAGTCCGTGTTTAATAATAAGAGAATTAGAGTTTATCTTTTCTCCGCTGTTGAAAGAACTAGAGTGCACTTAGCACGCCGGGGTGGCGTTACCGTATGGGCAAATTGTCAACCTTGAATTGACTCGTAGTTGCGTTGGGTATTTTGCGCATATTTCTAGTAGTTAATTAAAATAAATTTTTTTTTGTAATAGAGCAAAGTAACCCCGGTTTACGATATGTCTGGTAAACAATTGACTTCTCAAGCACATCTATGCTAGTTATCTATGCGAGTATTTTGAATTAGAAAAAGTGAATGGAGGCCCATTGGAGCCACTTTCATTTGTTTACCAATTCTTTATTTAAGAGAAAAGCTGCTGCATTAAGAATATTACTGAAAGTATAAGTAATGAATTGAGGTATACAGTAGTTGTATTTACTGGCAAAACATCTGTTAGCATTTTGTTAAAAAAATTGGGATTTAAATGTGAAAAGAATAAAATCAAAGAGCAGTATTTAAGCACACCAGTATTGCTGCTTTAAGAGCCAAGTTCCTTCGTAAAAATATGGAAAATATTAATAGTGTGCACCCCAAAGAAATTGTTTTTTTTTTGGACGAAACGTTGATTTATTCAAAGGAAAATAAAATAATTTCCTATCAAGACAAAAGTGTAAAAAATGTACGTAAACCAGAAGGCTATGATGGAAAATATTTCATAATTGTTCACTCTGGTTCTTCGAAATTAAGGAAAATATTCCTATTAAGACAGAGGCGTAATAAATAATAAATTGACTCTTTCGGTTTAAAATTTCCACCTGATATTAGATAGGTGACGGGATTTGAAAATTTGTTTATGTATTTTTACGGTTACCCATTTATGTTCAACCTTGATAATATTATGACGATATAACCTGATTTAATGTTAACCCGTAACTACAGACGTGTAACACAACTTATATAAATGCAGATGTGACGTCTCTGGGACATACCTCATTTTTGTTAATTAAGAGAAAAACCAATCATTCAAGACGAAGTCAAAGCCGCAATTAAAGCAACCAAAGAAGGTTAAGCACCAAAGCACGACAACTTTCATTTAGAATTTCGAAACATCATGGGAGACGAGGGAGTATAATGGCTTACGACAACGTTCAATAAAATCTATGACTCCGGAAAAATCCCAGAGCGCTGGTTAAAATCTACATTTATTACTATACCTAAAAAACCTAATGCAAAAAAATACGAAGAGCATCGTATTATCAGACTGATGAGCCACATTTTTAACACCTTCTTAAAGATAATACACAGAAGAATTTATCATAAATGCGAGTCCCAGATCTCACGAACGCAGTTTGGATTCAGGGATGCATTAGGTACAAGAGAAGCCTTCGCGGTGCAGGTATTATTCCAAAGGTGCAGAGACGTTAACTCCAATATTTATGTATGCTTTATTGACTACCAGAAAGCTTTCGACAGAATCCAGCACGATAAGCTCATGGATATACTAAAGGCAACTGGTCTGGATAACAAAGACCTGAGTAATCAAGAATATATACTACAGCCAATCAGCAACCATTCGGGTAAAATACCAACTAACAGAGTAAGTTGCAATAAAGAGAGGAGTACGACAGGGCTGCATACTCTTTCTCCTATTATTTAACGTCACAACGAACACATCATGAGCCAGGCCTTAGAGCATTTCGATGAGGGTATTCTCATAAATGGTGAGCGCCTGAATAACATCAGATATGCAGACGACACGATCCTCTTTGCAGACAGTCTAGAAGGTTTACAGACACTAGTAACGCAGTTGTAAGGAATCAGTCAGGAGTACGGGCTTGATTTTAACATCAAGAAAACCAAGTACATGCACCATATTAGTAAAAAGCATATTCCACCCAGACAATTACTGGTAGATCAGCAACAAATACTCCAAGTGCTTCCTTACTACTATTTAGGAACCACCATAAACGACCAATGGGACCACTCAGTTGAGATAAATCAGAGAATTGAAAAAGCCAGGTCAGCGTTTGTCAGAATGAGCAAAGATATTTAAGAGTTACGACCTACCCTTAAAAACAAAGATCCGTTTATTGAGATGCATCTCAATGCCCGGGATGCCCGGATGCCCGAGGCATCCATGGGAAAACTCGAGGCGTTTGAGATGTGGTGTTATAGACGGATACTGAGGATCTCCTGGGTGAACCGAGTAACAAACATTGAGTTTCTACGTCGGATGGATAAGTTGTGAAATTATATCCACAGTGAAACAGCGCAATCTAGAATATCTTGGACATATAATGCGAAACGACCATAGATATAACCTGCTGCAACTTATACTACAGGGACAGGTCTACGGAAAGAGGAGACCAGGAAGAAGAAGAATATCTTGGCTCCAGAATTTACGAAAATTGTTTTCCTTGACCACTTCAGGACTATTTCGAGCTAAGGTCAATAAAGTTAGAATTGCCATGCTAGTAGCCAACATCCGTAACGGATAGGCAACACAAGAAGAAAAAGAAGAGAAGAAACGGTTATAACTTTTAAGCAGTAGATGTCTCATGAAGTATGCATCTATTGTAATTAAATTAATGTTTACTTAAAATTTCGTAAATTAAACAGAATTACAAAAAATACGTTTATTTTAATACAAAAAAAAAGGATCATCAAGCAGGTCCAAAAAATTGTAAAATTGAAAGTATGAAACAAAAAAAAAACTGTGAAAATTAGTTTCCCTAATTAATTAAAGGATTGTTCTTAACATAAAAACCACCCGTATAAAATAAAACACGAACATCACAAAAACTGCACGGCTCCAACTTTTAATTCATGTCGAACAATCTAAACATATTTTTTTACAATCTATACGTTAAAAAAGTCTGTCTTTTTTTAACAGCAGGACATATTCTACAGATCTTTCTTCTTTCCAGTTTTGTTTCATTGACAGTTAGAAACTGTCTTTGGATTCCTAATACCCAGCTTATACACATTCTTACTTCATGGTTTAAACGAGGATTATTAAACCGGTGCTGTAACTCAGGCATTACCAGTTGTAAAGCCAATTGTTTCACATACTCATATCTTGTCAATTTTACATTATCCCGAAACGATTGATGTAATATATAACAATTTACCAAGTTGATATTCAACATTCTGTAAAATATGGCCATTGCCCAACGCCTTGTTCTTCGATTGCAAAAGAATGTGGCACAATTTTCATTCAATGAATCTACCCCTCCTTTTGTTGTATTATAATCTGCAATTATTTCAAGCTTAGATGTATCTGGGTCAGTTACTTCATAATGGTGCGTGAAAGATACAAGCACTACTGCTTTGTTTTTTATTTGAACGTGAGATAATAATGTTATCTTTCGTAAAACCATATAAACTAAAGCCTACTCCTCTATCTTGTCCAGGCAAGAACTACGGTGGAATTTCGCGTTTGTTCTATTTTAGTGTTCCAACAAACGTTAATTTTTTTTTGTTTTTAAAACGTTTATAGCTTCGATAGATGAAAACCAGTTATCAGCTGTACCATTTTTGTTAGAACCGAAAATTGGTTTAGTAAGGCGTAGCAGAGCTTGCGTCGGTTTTGGAAACTGTTTCTCCTCATTTGGTACCAAGTTCTACCATCACTGTCTTTACCACTGTATATAAAGGCATTTAATAAATATCCAATGCATACATTGGATCCAATAAAATTGAATATCTTAACTGTCAATTATCGATAAAGATTACAAAAATATCAGAACTAGCGGCTATAGGGTCAGTTGCTTTTCTGTGAGTTCGTGTATCAGGGTTATCAAGTGAGAATAATAACAAACTTGTTGGAATTAGTTATGCACCGGAATATGTCTCGTTTTAATCCATCAGTCGAAATTATAGATCTGATATCCCCTTGATTGGATTTAAAAATGGTTGTTAACATTAGAGCACCAATAAAAGTTTGAAATTCTATAAGGTTCAAGTCACGGCGATCACTGGTATGTTGCGAATATTTTCTTCTTATTTTGGCTATATGTATATTAGTCCAACGAACGACTGTTTCCAGTATTTCCTCAGAGAACAGTAGGTTCCAGGAATCTAATTGATCACTATTATTATCGTTGAAATTTCGTAATACTGAACATCTGATCCAAATATTTTGTTTTGCAGTGCCGCTGTTCTCATTTACTGTAGGTTGGGAAGACCACTTGTAGCGATTTTTTCCATAATACTATTTTTCTCCTTTAATGTTAAATCTTTTTCGCTTGACATGTGGCCAAAGTCTTGGTTATTTTGTTTATCTATTTCTACCAAATTTACAGTAACATCGTGTTCTGTATCACTTTGTAAGTCATCTTTACTTGGAATGTAATCTCCATCACTTTTTTAATCGGTGACGTCGCTAAGATCCTCAAACCATTTTAAAAGAGTTACTTTATATTCATTAAATTTAATGGCTTTTGCCCCTTTAGAAGGCCCAGGCAAATTTTTGTCAGCCATTGAAACACCTAAAATCAATATTTATTAGTCTTATGACTTCTAAGAAATGTTACACTTATACAGACCTGACGTCACTCAGACACCTCGACGTAGATAAAATTGTTTTACAGCTAAACCAAACAAACACTACACCTCAAGTTTCGACAACTATGTCACAACTGATATATAAAAAGGTAGACAGCAGACAGAGTTACAGAGGCCTGGTTGTGTGTAGTGGTGATATTTATGGAAATGCGCATTTGCTTTTCGTTTCTGGGACGTCACGTCTGCGGTTACAAGTTAAAATGTAAAAAATATTTGTTGAATGGACAAAAACAAAATTTATATCTTAAATCTCAATATTATGCAAAATACGTAATTACTATAAAATTGCAAAAAATCCCGACTTTACTCCTAAGTACCTACACAAGATTAAGGCATTAATTATAAACCACTACGTAGGTAGTGGTTTATAGTCAATGATTAAGGTTAGTTAGAATTATTGAGTATTCTATTGTATATAAACACTCTATAGCAGAAAGTATTATTTTTTGTATTAAATATAATAAAGGATAAATAAATACCCAATAAAACAAGAAACAAATTAAAAAACACAAAATTTTAGCAAATAATGACACAATTCTTTGTGAAAAACAACGAAACTTAAAAAAAATTGATGACGTAAAAGAATTTTTGTAAAAATTTAATTTTATGACTAACATAATTTTTTTATTTCAGAATTTTGTTTTCGTCTGAAATCCAGAATATGGGGAGAAAATAAACGCAGTAGGACAAACGGTACTATTTTAAAATAGTTTTGTATTGTCTATTATAAATAAATAAATTGTATAAGTTTATATACTTTAGTTTAATTTTATGCCAAAATCGATTTAAATATCGTGTTTATATGGGATTAAGCCATAAATGATTTTAACTAAAATTACATTTTTAACTACTGTTCTATGAACTTATAACTTGAACTGTGTTCAAGAAGATGATGGTAGAATTGGAAGAAATCAGGATTAAAAATAAGGTGTATAAAGAAGAGATAATAGCGCTGAAAAAAGAAAATATAAATATAAAGCAAGAATTGGAAGAAACAAAAAGCCAATTAACCCAGGCCAAAAATAAAGTAAACAGAATTAAACAATATATGAAAAGAAATAACATAGTAATTACTGGTCAACCAGTGGTCTCAACAGAATGATGAAACACTCAAAAAAAAAATAACGTAACAGCTTTTGTACAAAAGCACCTAAGAAAGGACGTCGCAATAGAATCTGCAATAAAGCTAAAAAACAATATATATATATATAATATATATATATATATATATATATATATATAATATGTTTGATAAAAAAGTCGAAAAAAAACAAGGTAATGAAAGAAAAAAGCAAACTCAGATTTCTTACTGGAGAAAAGGCCTTCATCAACGATGACCTGATTGAAAAGAACAGAAAAGAAAAGACACACGAGGCAGGAAATTGTAAATAATGGCAAGAAATGTAAAGTTAAAGGTGAAAATAGGGTACAAGAAACTAACTGTCTTCTTCTTCTTCTTTGAGTACCGTGCCCAAGTTTTAGGCGTGGGTAGCTTCCATGACGATTTGCCGATATCGTTTTCGATCTTGCACGGCATGTAACAATTTATCTGTTGATAAGCCAGTCAATTGACGAAGGTTTGGGAACCATGAGTATTTCTTTGTGCCAATTCCTCTTCTTCCGCCGATCTTTCGTTGAGAATCAACTGCATTATCCTGTATCTATTTCCTCTCATTAAATACCCCAGATATTCGAGTTTTCTCTTTTTTATTATCTTTATTAAGTTACCTTCACCTTGACCTACTCTGTTTAAGACTTCTCTGTTGGAAATATGTTGAACTAACGATATTTTGAGCATTCTACGATATAACCACATCTCGAAGGCTTCTAATTTGTTTATTATGTTTACCTTCATAATCCAGATTTTACATCCATACAGTAATACAAGATACATATAACATTTTAGGAACTTAGTTCTCAGCTGTAAGTTCAGCTGAGAATTTTTCAGAATAGATCTGAGTTTCATATATGCTCCTCTAGTAATTTTTACACATGTTTTAATTTCTTCATCAGGATTTAGTGTCTCGTTTCTCCAAGATCCTAGATATTTAAAATGGTTAACTTTTGTTATCGGTTCATTATTCACAATTAGTTGTAACGCTCCGAGGTCTTGTTTACTAACCACAAGTAACTTTGTCTTTATTGTATTTATGCTTAGTCCGTTATTAGAGCATTCTCTAGTGACTCAGTTTATAAGCAATTGAAGATCTTTGATACTTTCTGAGTAAACGTTAAACAAAGTTGGGGACAACACACAACCCTGTCTAACACCCCTTTGAATACAAATTTTGTCTGTTTCTTTGTCGTCTACCAGAATAGAAGATTCTTGATTCCAATATAGATATTGTAAAAGTCTCAGATCTTCATCATCTATTCTAAATATTTTAGATCTTTAAACAGCCCACCATGCTAACCCTATCAAACGCGCCTTTTCAAAATCTATATAACACACGTAAATTGGTTTCTGTACTTCCCATTATTGTTGACGTAGTGTTAGCATTAAGAACAAACCTTCCATTATTCCCAATCCCTCTCTGAAACCGAATTGTTTATTTTCCATTATGCCTTCATATTTCTGCTTGATTCTATGAATTAGAAATAACTTGAGAGAGTGACTCATGAGGCTAATTAGTCTAAAGTTTTTACATGATGATATAAAAACTTTAGACTAACTTTTAACCACATTTGTGGCAGTGTTCCAGTTTCGTATATGTGGTTATAAATGTTTGTTCGTTCTGAGACATTGTTATCGTCTAGAAGTTTGAGCCAGTCTGATGGTATTTGGTCCGAGCCTGGAGATTTACCATTTTTGCTTTGTTTGATGGCTTTCTCTACTTCTGATTTTAATATACTACTACTACTAATTTTACCTTCGGAGTTTCTCATAAAGTGAGAAGTTCTTTTTCTCTGAGTGTAGGTAATTTCTTGAGTGTAGGTAAGTTTTTTGTGTAGATTAAACTCATCATGTTTTCTTTGTAGTTTCCATCTCACGACATCTCTGTTCCATCCAGTCCTCTTTTACTCACTTAACTTTGTATCTTATTTGTCGATATATTTCTCTATATCAAGTCTCATCTTTATTTTTACAACTAACTGTGAATGGCATAAAATGAAAATGGACCAGAAATGGTAATTTCAAAAGAGAAAATTTTAGAAATATGGATCCAAAAAACAGTATATAGTAAAGAACAAAAAAAAATACGACGAAGAAGAATTATGCCCACGACCATAGCGATAAACAGGAAAATGGGTTTGAACATAAATAGCAAAACAAAAAATAAGAATACGTACCTACCTAAATATTGCGACATAGAATATACGAGGAGTGTACGAGAACAGCGTAATAATTAACCTAATACAAGAACTTATAGAGAAAAATATAAAGTACACATCACAGCAATACAAGAAACAAATTTTACTGGAAACAACATAATTAACCCTGGAACTGCACTGTTGGGTCTCAGAAACCATGAGAGTCATTATTGCAATGTGACATGCGCATGAGTGGTTTATGTGTGTCGTCACATTATGTAAATTCAGTCTGTCGTAAGCCGAGTTAGAATACGGGTCATCCGCTGCATTTTAGTGAAACAGCGAGGTAAGATATTTGAAGAAGTACAAGCATGGGTACCCCGGACCCAAGGGTGATGTTTACGGTAATAATTTTGTTTCAACATATTTTTATTTATTTTAGTATAATGGCGTCAACTAGTAGAGAAAATAGTCGAGTAAAGGCATCAATTAGCAGAGAAAATCGTCGTCCTTTAACTTAGTTGAATTACAGAGAGAGGCAGACAATTTATGGGAGAATGAGAGTGAAAACGACATCGTAGACGATATGTTTGGAGGGGACGAGTCTGATGAAGATTACATTGAAGAGCAACTGTCAGGCAGCAACAGTGAACAAAGCGACCATGAAGACGAAATAGTAGATGAACCAGTTAGAAATATTCCTAGTTTACTGGGGGAAAATGGTCATCGGTGTAGCACACAAGCACCAGCAAGACAGGGTCGTACAAGACGAGAAAACATTGAAATACATTTACCTGGTCCCAAAGGAGAAGCGAGCACAGTTCAATCTCTTGAACAATCTTGGAATTTGTTGTTAAACGAACAAATGATAGATGTTGTTGTTTTGCACTCAAATGAAGAAGTAATTCGGAAATGCAATGATATTAGACTAAAATTCTGGGAATTGAAGTCCCCCCCCCCACCATAACATGATGTTCATTTAACAAAAAAAGTTAGATGCTGCTTTTGTGCAAAAGAAAAATATAGAAAAACCAGTTTTGCGTGTTCTGAGTGTCGCAGACCATATTGCATGGAACAAAGAGCCCAGCTATGCTGTGAATGCGAACATCAAGATCCAAAAAACTGAAGACCTGGCTAAGAATAACTAAGACATATATTACCAAAAGAGTTTATTTTTTTGTTACAAGTATAGTTATACATGTGTATTTTGTAGATGATAATTTCAATTTAATGTTTATTTGTTTTAATAACAATGTTTTATGTTTGAATATTATTTTATGTTATTTTTGAATTTCAACAAATATATCTCTTTGTGAAATACCACACCATGGTTAAATTTTTTTTACACATTCTACTAAGATTAGATATTCTCCCAAATCCATCAAATATTCACATTTTCTGTTTTTTTGCTCCGGGTTTCTAAGACCCGAGTGTGAAGTTCATGCCTTAAAAAATAAGTGTGATGTACCAGGGTTAAAATTAGTCTATACGCGTTAAATACAAGTGAAGGCAATAATACGAATTTTGGAGTGGGTTTTCTGGTACATTATGATGTGGAATTTGCTGAGTTGGATGACGATATAAGTATGGATGATAGCGACACTGACGAAGAGGAACATGTTTCGGAACGTGATGAAGATTCCGAATTAAGTAATAGAAGTAATACCGAAGACGAAGCTGACAGTTCCAACGAGGCTTATATAGCTTATTTAAAGAAAAATGAAAAAGTTTTCGACTCATGGATTTGGCAAAAAAATCTAAACAAAAAAAGGAAGCGACCACCTCGCAATATATTACTTCGTCTCCCTGGGGTCATTGGACCAGCTAAGAATTACACAGACATCGTTGATATTTGGAAGTGCCTCATAACTGATCCTTTGATTAAGAGCATCGTGAACTTTACAAATATGTACATAAGTTCTGTAAGATCTAATTATTGTTGTCCAAGAGACGCCAGGGATACAGACAATCTAGAAATAACATCCCTTTTGGGCTTGCTTTATTTGGCGGGCATTTGCCATGGTAATCGAGTTAACCTGGAAGAACTATGATGAATAAATGATTTCAAAATCAAAACAGTGATGAGTTGGAGAAGATTTATATTCTTAATGAGAGCATTACATTTTAGTAAAATAGCTACAAGAGTAGCTATTTCATTAAAATGTAAAACGTAAAAGAATGGATCTGCCAAACTTCTGCCCCATAAGTCATAATAGGCTCTACCAAGGTTTGATAGATTGTCAATTTCGTTTCTTGTTTAATTTTTATTATTTTATTTTAATTTTTAGATTACAGTAGAGAGTTTAGAATGTTAACTGCTTTTTTCCCTGCTGCCTTGTGTTTTTGATGTGTCTTTTGGAAGTGCCTTCTTAAGATATTATAGATCCGAGATATTTATA